GTAGTAGTAGTAGCAGTAGTAGGTGTAGGTCCACTACCACAACCGCCGCCACCGCCACCACCGCCACCACCACCACCACCACCACCACCACCACCACCACCACCACCACCACCACCACCACCTCCTACCTGCTACCTACTACCCACTACCCACTACCTCCTACCGGCCACCTGCTACCTGCTACCTACTACCTACTACCTCCTCCCTACTACCTGCCACCTATTACTTTGTACCTACTACCTACGACTTACTGCCTATTGGCTATTACCTACCTCTTACTACTACTACTACTACTACTACTACTACTGCTACTGCTACTGCTACTACTACAACAACTACTACAACAACTACTACAACAACAACTACTACTACTACTACTACTACTACTATGACAAGGACACGTGCCACGACTATTTTCAACTTGCAATGACACGACACTTTCACGGCTTCCACTGCTGGAGAAAGCTGTCAAGGAGAAAAGGCAATCGCAAGAGTAACGGCAGTCGTAGACAGCTGTGATGATGGCCAAGTGACTCAAGGGCATCAGTGTTGGTCATCGCATCGCCATGATCTGAGAGTGGCTGGAGGCTGTCACCACAACCTGTGGTCAAAGATGACAAATCGGACCTGGGCGATCCATCACGTGCCTCTCGGCTACTCTCTCGGTCTACCCTGTGCTGGAATGCTGCCTCCTTGTCGAAGTATCGTGTTCCTCTAGTGTTCCTGCAAATTGATGTGCCACACGCTCGTGTCACTGTGCTGCGTACTCCATCCAGCCGTGTGCTCCAGCCAGAATAAAGTGCCTGTGCTTAGCCCTGCTGTTCCTGCCCAGCAAGAAGAAAAGAGAGAGAGAGAGAGAGAGCTTTGGAGACCAGGGCGCACACCTGCACAGGAGGGTCCCGCCCTCTTTGGCTGTGTGGAAGAACAGAGAGAGAGAGAGAGAGAGAGAGAGAGAGAGAGAGAAAGAGAGATCGGGAGAGAGAGAGAGAGGAGAAGAAGAAAAAGAAGAGAGAGAGAGAGAGAGATAGAGAGCCATATACTTTTCAAAGTCCCTTCAAAAAGCCCCCCCAAATTGGCGGCCCTAGTGGCCAGGGGGCTTAAGACGCTCCCTATGCCCTGTGGAAAATCGGAGAGAGACGGGCTAGTGCGACCCTCAAACGAGAGAGGAACTTTCGTGAGAAGGGGGGCATGCGCGAGCCGGAAGCTTCCCAACTCAAGCCCCCAGTATGCCAAGCGAGCAAGTAAGCGAGAAACAGTCAGAAAGCAGAGGGGGGGGGGGGGCTGTCTTTGCTCCGACAGGAAGCCCCAGCAGATCCTTTGCATGTGGTCTGCGGATATGGCCGCCGGCTACTATGAGGATGGCGGTGATGCAGGTGCGAAGCCTTCCCAAAGAGCAGTATGGAGGGTCTAGTTGAGTCAAGGGAAGCTTGGGTGGTGGCCATGTGCAGGCCTCCGAATCGACGAGGATCGCGAGCCAAACGAGTTCCCGGATCTTTGTAGCTGCGCTACAGAGCTCCGCCTGGCAAAGGGTCCGAAGGCTTCGGCCGTGGGCTTTGTGAGGTGCTCGTCATGGGCATCGGTTCTTCAAGATGCATGCGACATGTTTACGATAATCGGGTGGCTGAATTAGATGCCCTCCCAGTGGTTGTCATGCACTTCATCACGCATGGAAAGACCGAAGAAGGAAAGCAAGTTTAAGCTTTCTCAGCTTCTGCTGTCATGCTGCGCTCAATCAAGGATGAATCTTTCTTCGAGCGGAGTGACCTGGACAAGTTGCAGGAAGAGACACAGCGAGTGCTCGACGACGAGGAGGATTGTCGAGCGAGCTTTCTCAAAAAGGTAAACCCGAAAGCCCAAACTTTTCTGCTCCGTGATGCATGGCAGGAGTGAAGGGTGTGAGCTGGCAAAAGGCAAAAAGCTGCCTGAGCCCGGGAAAAAAGCGTGAAACGCTCTTCATACGGAGCCCTGATTCGGTGTACCAAGGCCCCCTAACCTCGTCTCCCCCCGCAAGGGTCCTTATCAGCTTGCGAAGACTTCTCGACCTCAACCGATGAGGCTCAAAGCCTGCCAGGGGCTTTGTGTTGGTGACTTTTTTTGCACATCAAAACAAAGCTCAACTTCTTGGAGACACAGAGTCTTACAGAGCTCCAAGCAGCATCAACTCAAGCGCTCTGTGCATACTTGCAGCAACTTGCATTGCTAAAACTTTTCAGGGGCCAAAAGCTGCCAGTGTCACCGAAAGCTCTCCGATTCCTTCACCTGCAAACCATGTCGAAGGCACGCCGAGGGTACAGTAGCCATCGCTAGGGGTCTTTCACGTCCTCGTGGCCCCGGAGCCCTAAATTTCAACAACTACCTGAATCCCTGTGAGGGTTCAGGGTTTAGGGGTTAAAGCATAGGCCCCAAACCGAACATGGAGCTAGAGCGGCAGGTCTGGGAGTCCGCGCAGAAGCCCAAGGGCAATCGAAATCTCGACGATGAGATCAGGCGAGGGTTTGAGTTTCGGGAGGGAGGGAGGGAGGGACCCCCACAGGAAGCCTTAAACCCTGGAAGTCCTGCAGGGTGGACTCGTAGGAACCTTTGGAGGTGCCTAGGTCGTGTTTGTTTCAAGCTTCCAACTCTAAAGTGAGTCCTCGCCATTTCGCATGCCTCGTGTCGCGGGCAGGTCCTTGGGAGGGATGGGCCTAACATGTATACAAAAGCTCAGAACTCAGATCCTCCGCTGCGAGGCTTATGGCCGGGAGCATGCTGACGTACAGCACGCTTATGTCGGCGAATGAAGGAACAGAGACGCAGGCCAGGTACTCAAGTTTCGGGGTTCCGGGTGGCTCTAAAGCTCAAGCTCTGAAGAGTATTCGGGGGGGTCGACAGAGGAGCTCTCGATTGTAGAGCCGAATCCTTGGAGCAGTCGAGGGCTGCGGAACGAAGAAGTCAGGACCCTAAACTCTGAAAGTCTGGAGCCGTAGTGTAAATAGCACCTTGCAAGGCCATGAAGATCGTGGCGAGACGCCAGCAAGAGAAGTTGAGGGGCTGCTTAATGCTGCCGTTGGCCTTCGTGTACTTTGTCTTGCTACCTGGCACAATCTGGGCACACACAAAGAGGCCACGCATGAACTCCCGAAGTGCAAGCTGGCTGTTCGATGTAGTGATAGTGACGGTGGAGCAGCAAGCTTTCGATGTTGACGTAGCCTTGGCAGTGAAGACTGGGCCGGTTTGCGCAAGGTTTTGTACGTCTATCATGCTGCACGAGGACGGGTCAGAAGAAACGGAGATCGCGCTGTACTGACACTTACCCGACCTTGCTGTGCTGCAGCTAGATGGGAGCAAGGGGCGCGAATGCTGGAAAGGACATCTCGGATGTGTACATGATCGAGTCGCAGCTTCGCGGGCAGATGGACGACATCTTCGGTGAAGTGGAGGCCCGGTTACGGCTAGATGAGCCTTGCCGCCTCAAATGGTCAAAGATGCCACTATGCCGGCACAGTCTTGGCAATGGTAGCGACTCTTGACGCCTGACGCCCCCGCGAGCCCGAACCACTTTGCCGCACATGCCTCGGCAGGACATGGACTCCCTGTGGGTGTCTTGGCCGGCACCCATGCCCTAAACCCTAAACCGTCAAGGGCTTGCATTCTTCGATCACTCGCTGCTTCTGGAAGTCATTGCAGCTCCCTCCTGGTACACAGTGAGGCGGTAAGCTGTAAGAACCAGAGAAACCGAAAAGCAAAAGCAGGAACCCCCCTGTGCTTTTTTCGACTTTTTCTGGGATCTGGTGGGGTTCGAGGGCTCTGACCCGAAGACCAAGGATGCCATCCAGGGTCCTTTCTCCGAGATGCTCTTCAAACAGACCGACTCACAGCAGAACTTCAGCTCGGCTGACCCGAGCTTGCTTCGGGTACAGAGGGAGAGAGAGGTTGGGAATTTAGGAGTAGTAGCAGAGGTTGTTCAATTCGATTTGTTATAGTTGGATGAGGACTGTCTTGAGGTTGAGCAACAGGGCTCAAATCCAGGTAGACCCCAAGACACCAGACCAGAAGCTGTTTCAGCTTTGTTGTGCCGTGGAGTTCCTGTGTAACCATGCTATGCTAACCATGCTATGCAGCAGTGTCCCTTATGACCAAAGGACTCATTTTTGCCAAGGTGCTGTGTGCGCTATCCCAGTAGTCTAAGGACATGTACGGCCGCACGCTCTCAAAGAACACGACGAATGACAAATGGGGCGACTGGGGCCGGGTGCTTCGCTACAACCAAATCCAAGGCTGGGAGATCTGCTGCCAATGCTAGCTACTGGTAGGGTTTCGGGCTACTGTTGACTGTCCTCCGAACCGGTGCTAGCTTTCTGTCCTTCATCAGGCAGGTCGTAGTAGCAACCCCTCACACCGGCACAGAACCGGGAATATCTGAATATTCCTAAAGCGTACAGACATGCCGGTGCGGAGGCGCGCTGCGATTTCAGCAGACGAGTGCCTCATCCTGTGGATGAAGATGTTCGGTTTCTGCAAGAGCAGTCTGTGTCGCCTTTTGTGGGCCTTCGTCACATTTTCAAATCACTGCGAAGGTTAAAGGTACCTTCAGTTGAGCTGAGGAAACGTGTCTTCAACCTATGGCAAAGCCTTTCAGTGCAACAGCGAGATTTCCTGCAGCTCGGATGCAGCGTGGTGTAGGGTATGGACTACACTACATACTGCAGAGATACTCGAGTTGTTGGCATTCACTGGTCCATTCGCTTTGTGGCGACTAGAAGCGGCGCAGGATACAGAAGTCATGGCATCCGTCCTCCAAACATAGCCGATGGTGCATCTGCAACTGTACAACGCCTCTTCTGGTTCAGGTTTGGGGTCAGGACCTCATGCTTGCCTTACATACGTGTTCTCCACGAATTGAGAGGATGGAAGCATCAAGCTAGTGCAGCCTCTGTTTTGAACTCAATCCTAAAGTGACGACAGAAGTCACTGTCGACGTTCCTTTGTCGTGCTTGTGGCTTCTTCTAGCTTCCGCTTCTTATGATTCTTCGCAGATCCCGTGGCTTCTGAGCCTGGAGCTGCCAAGGTTTCCTGTGCCGCTCCAACCGCGGCTTTCAGCCTGCATACCTCAACCAGTGCCGCGCCCTGGATTTAGGACGGTTTAGGGTTTAGGGTTTAGGGTTTAGGGTTTAGGGAGTGTGACAGCACCGTACGGTGATGATGCTCATGCAGTGGCAGTGGTAGTCGTCGTCTTTGTAGTAGTAGTGGTAGTAGTAGTAGTAGTAGTAGTAGTAGTAGTAGTAGTAGTAGTGGTAGTAGGTAGTAGGTAGTAGGTAGTAGGTAGTAGGTAGTAGGTAGTAGTAAGTAGTAAGTAGTAGTAACTTGCAGTAGCAGTAGCAGTAGTAGTGTAGTAGTAGTAGTAGTAGCAGTAGTAGTAGTAGTAGTAGTAGTAGTAGTAGCAGTAGTAGTAGCAGAAGCACAGTAGCAGCAGTAGTAGAAGAAGAAGCAGTAGTAGTAGAAGGAGGAGGAGTAGTAGTAATAGTAGTAGTAGTAGTAGTAGTAGTAATAATAATAATAGTAGTAGTAGTAGTAGTAGCAGTGATAGTAGTAGTATGGGAGTCGCAGTCGCAGTGGCAGTCGCAGCAGCAGTAGAAGTAGCAGCAGTAGTGGCAGCTGTAACAGCAGTAGCAGCAGTACTAGTAACAGCAGCATCAGCATAAAACGTGCAAGCGGCAGTAACAGTTGTTCAGCAGTAGTGGCAGCGGTGATAGAAGTAGCTACTTAGCTACTTGTCGTTGTCATAGTGGTAGTGGTAGTCGTAGTCTGTAGTGCTGATCCTCTCCTATAGTTCTTCCTACAACTATTATAATTATTCTGATTCTGACTGCTTCTTACTATTGTCATGGTTGTGGCCGTGTTTGTTGTTGTTGCTGCGCAGCAGTAGCAGGAGGAGGAGGAGAGGATGGAAAGGAGGAGACGCATGGGGGGAGGATGCTGAATTATGTACTGCTACTACCGCAGTGTTGCGATTTGTATCAGATGATGATCGCCCTTGAAGTGAATCTGGTGATCCTTGGTGATCAATAAGAGATCCGGAAAAGTTCATCACTGCTACTCCTCCATTTTTGCAATACTGTGGCCAGCCGTGCCCGTTCTTGGAAGAACGGTGGTGCTTCCTCTTATTGTGATTCTTGAGAGCCGTTGCTTTGGTGTGGCGATGCAGCGTGGGTTTAGGGGTACTGGTTTGCCGACATTTTGATATGGTGCCTGCTTGGGAAGATCTGAGTCATTCCTGTCAGGCAGGGTAGCAATGGCTTCGTTGTGGACTGCCCGGTGCTCAGGAACCCTAAATCCTAAAACCCAAACCCTAAACCCTGTAAACAAAAGACCCCAAAACCCCGAACCCTAAACCCCAAACCCTAAACCCAAAACCGTGGATTGCCCGGTGCTCAGGGCCCTGGGGCACACATGGGTACAGCTCGCACGTTCAGGGCGACGGCCTTCAGGCGGATTCCTGACCTCGAGGTTTCTTCAGTTACCTGCCCAGCGAGACCAGACAGCGGCTCACAATTCCTTTTATAAATATATATATATATACATACATACATACATATGTATATATGCATGTATATATGCATGTAAATAAAGAAACAAACCAATATATGCACATGTATATATATATATATAGAAAGTAAGATAGTAATACAATCTAATCAATATACTATACCATAATTCAGTGTTCTCTTATATACTATAATATGGTATACTTTTCTATAATATGCAAGATTCATTATATATTATATGTTAATATGGCATCTCGTATATAATGCACTATAATATACTACGAAAAGAAAAGTTTACCTCATATCAAAATGTAGTATTTTCTTATTTCACCAATTACTACACAGTGTATAATGTAATGTTTCGCCATTTACTACCAACATATCATGTAATGTAACATAACATAATACAGTGCAATGTAATATATGACAATATAATACAATGCAATACAATATAATACAATATTAAGCAGCATGAAACAGTCTAATACAGTATCGTAGGGTATACTGTATAAAACGCAACGTAGTATAAAATGACATAGCATGATACAACATAATGTAACAGCATACAGCATAACTTAATTAAGTACCATATACACCCATTAATATAGGTATATATGTATACGTATGTATTCTACTACATATGTATAGATGTATATACACGCACATGTATTATGTATAATGTAATGTATAATCTATATGCTTACCATGTAATATGTACAATGCAATATGATACAGTAAGGTGTGTGTACATATATAACATTTAATGCATAATATATTCTAGTGAGTGTGTGAATATATATATATATAGTGTAACATCTGATGTACCATGTATAACATATACCGTATACTATATGTTTCAAAATATGTAATAGTTGTTACATCACATACAATATGTTATTCTACATGAATAGGTAAATACGTAACCACATGCATGAACAAGTAAGTAATTCAGTAAATACGTTTGAGACTACGCATACATGTAAACATCAGCATACATGTAACCATAAAGATAAATGTAAGTATGCATCTAGAGGTAATATACACACAGGTAAGTAAACAAACAACTCTCTCTCTCTCTCCCTCTCCCTCTCTCTGTCTCCCTATGAGTATATATGCACGCATGCAGATAATGAGTGGCAAGTAACTGGGTGACTTAGGCGGCAACTGGACTTCAACTCGAAGGCCAGTCGTAGCTGAGCTGTTCATCTGAGCAGGTTCAGGGTTTAGGGTTTTGGGTTTAGGGTTTAGGGGTTTAGGGTTTAGGGTTCAGGGGTCGACCGTGAAGAGAGCACCGGCGCCATGCACCATGTGGGGCGGATTTGCGTGCTGGCGACTTACGATTCTCAAGGTCGTGCAAGGTGTTAAGTATCTCAGTTGTGCTGCGTTCGCAACCTGACATCGTACGTAATCCAAAACTTGAGTTTGTTAACAGAGTTACCTCTTCATCACTTCATGGCTCACTGGGAATGTAGTGAAATCTTCAAGCCCTTGCCCACGCTGCTGAGCTCCTGTTTGGCAGGCTTGAGCAGGAGCAGGGCATGGAGCAGGCACTGCAGCTTGGCGCCTCTAACAGCCTAAGTCAGGAGTCCTGACAGTTAGAATGGGGCTTGGGGGTTTATTGCATTATACTTACATGACGGGTTATATGCAAGGGGATACTCTTACTGTTTGTTCCGACCCCATGTGTCAACCTTCTCTGGCTCTGTCTTTCGAGCCCACAGTGTGCAAGGGGAGCCTTAGCGATAACAGTGGAAGGATTGCCCCCCGATAGCATTCAAAACGCACGCCACCACGTGTACCACGCGTACACTGAAGCCTCTCATGCTCAAGACACATTGAATCGCGGGACCACGGTAGCCTCCTTGACAGAGCATGCAAGCCTTGCCTCATGACCCTGTGGTAGTTATGACGTCTTCGTCTCTACTTGTCTATCACGCCTCGCCTGACCCTGACTTTACAACAGCTTGGTCGTCAGGGTGGGGTTTTGAGACGCTTGACACTAGCTCGAACTATTCAAAGAAACCTCAACAACCCTGAACTGGAAACACTAGCAGCCCAAGGCAAAACGAATCGCCCTACTGCCCCCATGAAGAATAACCTGTTGTCAAACCCTAGAACCACGAAACCGTTGTCGTAACCCTTATAGTGCCGAATCGATACCCTCATAGTACCGTATGGTAGCTTAGAGTGCCTTATGGTGCCTTATTTTACCTATGTGCCACCTTATGCTGACCCTTACTGTACCTCACAGTAACGCTTACAGTACCTCATAGTGACCTTTACGGTACTGTGTAGGAAGCCTTGTAGTGGCCTTAAGGTGACGTTTACAGGATCTCCTCAGCCCTTCGATGCCACTGCCAAGGTTACCAGGCCGAGAACTCTCGCAGCTTCAGCCGTCGATGCTGCCCCTCGGGCGGAAGGTTTCGGGATAAGGGCCTCCAAACCCCTGAACTCCTAAAGCACGGCCTAGGCTCCTCGAAACCCCAAGCTGCCCCCCCACCCCTCCCGAAACCCCAAGCTCTGACCTTAGAGTGACTTAGGGTTCAGGCTTTCACGGGTTGAGGGGCGGGGCTGTGCGGATATCTTGAGAAGAAACTTTCCGTGAAGGGCTTCGCAGGGGGAACGTCGTGATTTTAATTGTAGGCAGTCCAGGAAGGGCGAATTTCAGCCAGGTCGTATGGCTTCAACCCTGCTTTGCAGAAGAGCGTCGTACACCCAAAGCCTGTGGGATAAGCTAGGGCCAATACCGAAGAGCACTGTGAAAGGGTTGGTTGTGGAGAACAACTCCTCCGATGCCGTTAACCACACAACCCTTGCCTCACGCATGCGTTCATAGGCAACCTGAACATCTTGAACACAGGAAAGAAGTTTCTCTCCCAACACCGACCCTGGAAATCCTCAGCATGAAAAACTGAATCTTACCTTGTCCAAACAGGTGCCAGAGCTTGTTGAACGATTGTAGCTGCAGGTTGTACCTTGTGGTAGTGAGTTTTCTGCCATCGGGTCGTACTATGTGATGTGTTTAAGTGTGGGCTTCGGCACACACCCGTTTGACACAAGGACTTCGCTACCAGACGAAAAGACAGACGAAATGCACGTCTTCAGGCCCTGATCTCGGCATCGCCCGTTTCTGTAATAGGGTTATGATACACTATACTATCACTATACCATAACCTCGTAGAATATACTAAATTCAGAATAAGGGAAGGCCAGGGCTCCGATGCTATCATGCAGGCTGCCTCTACATAGTCTGTAATCATCCCTGCACTCGTCAATCCTTGGGACCCGTTCTGAGAGCGCCTTGGGGTACTCGGGCGGACCCTAAGCCCTTGTGTTGTGCACAGCGGAATCCGTTTCGACGTCGTAGCAGCCGTAGCAGCAGCAGGAGTAGTAGTAGTAGTAGTAGTAGTAGTAGTAGTAGTAGTAGTAGTAGTAGTAGTAGTAGTGGTAGCGGCTGCCGAGCCGGCAGCCCGAGCGGCTGCAGCAGCAGTAACGGCAGCAGCAGTGCACATAGCAGAAGCAGTACTAGCATTAGTGCGGAATCATGGCGGAGATGATGACGATGATGCTGCTGTTGACGAAGATAGTAGCGGAGGTTATGATGGAGGTGGTCGTTTAGCGTTCACCGACAGAAGCATAGTATCGGTAGACTGATTCCGGGCACCGCTGACTTCGCTCCCGTGTCTGCTGTGTTCATCTCCAAGCCAGTTCAAGATTCCTGTGCAGGTTCTACTTGTATCCATCCGAGTCCGCGTCACGGACAGCAGAGCGCTTGCAATACTTCCGCAATCGTGTGTGGATGGACAAGGACCCTGCGCAGATGAGTGCTTTTTTGTGATAGGTTGGATGGTTTCCATGTAAAGACGTTTCCAAAAGAGTCGACTTCCAGCTTGAACCAGCCCGGCAGCAGGATTCCGAGGTCTTGCAGATCCGCAGCTTGCATGCGCTTGCTTGTTTTCAGTCTTCACTTCGTTTCGACGGATCCTGGAGCATCAGACGCATGTATTTCCCCCTCTCCCCAAGGGCTGTACCTGCTGAATGCAGAGCTGGGCCAACCAAACATGGAGCAGGCAGCCGAGTTGCACGCAGGACACAGTCTGACTTCGGCTTAGGCTTCTGCAGCCTTCAGTTGCTTGTTCAGTCTCAACATCTTTTATTCGTCCCACGTTTGGAAGAGTCACTGCGTCCCAAGCATGACTCGGCCCAAAGATCTCCCGAAAATTCTGTCCTTCCGCAGGTGACCCTGACATTCTTCATGAGTATCGGTGGCAGTGGCTTGGCCCTCCAGAGAATAGCGGCAGTAGAGGTCTGGGGTGGGCTCTGCAGCACCGTTGCGGCAATCAGGCATTTACTACGAGCGCGACTTCCAAGCCGTCTTCTTCGAAGTCTTTCCGAACATGAGTTCCATGGTGACGCTGCAGCAAAGTCTTTGCGGCATGTCGCCCATGTCAGAAGTGAAGACATCGATAAGTGTGCGTGGATAAGCGTGGGAGAAGATAGCTGAACCTGTCATGGTACCAGTGTGCGCCGAAGCCTGGGTTCTCCTCTAAGGTCGCAGATGGCCTCTTCTTCTGCGTTCTCGTCTTCACTGGTCCTGGCCTTGGCGTGTCGTGATCCCGCCCTGCTATGCAGTCGGGATGAAGTCCAGAGCTTGACGCAGAGCCTGAGACTGAGCCCCCAGGCGCATTGCAGATGGTCGTTCTCTGGCGGGCTGCTCGAGAGCGGAAGCTGGTGCAGCACTTCATGGACATCAGGCAGGGCTCTAGGAGTCCTTGCGGACAGGGTCCCAGGTCGTGGACTCTGAGTTACTGACTCCAGGACACTAGCCTCAAGGAAAAGGACCTATATCCGTCGGCTTGATCCTGCGACCATGTCACCGAACCAAACGCTGAGAGTTGCAAGGATCCTGTTTCCTCCTTTGAAGAACCGATGACTGTACTTGTTGCAAGTGTGGCTTGATGCGGATTTGTTTTCGAGTATTGTCGAAGTCGAATCAACAAGGGTTAGAGGACGAGCCCCTGTTGAAATGCATTGGCTGCGGATGTTCGGTGACGACCGTGGGCGTGCGCGTTAAGCTATCTTGTTAGATGCTGCAACTAGATGCATGAAGACCCTCCAGCCTCATAGCATCGAAGAGGCATCTCATGCACCTTGCATCATTGTGTATCCCAGTTGATGAACAAGCTACGCCAAGCCATGCCGCTCACACAGCTCCGGCACAATAACTGCAAAAAGGCTTTGCCCCTAGCCAGGTCTATCTTAGAGTTTGTTGTGATCATCGTTGGCATATACTTCTGCCACTCGGCCGCAACGCACATGACCCCATGGCCTGCGCTCGCACTTTAGGAGCACATGTGCAAGTTCTTGAGACGATGGGTTAGGAGTGTTGTACAAAAAACCCTGCATCAAGCACACCCAAGCCACCTGAATGTGTTGCATGCCGAGGTTACCAGTTCTACGCTGTCTTCCAGACCAAGGACGCACAGAGTTCCCCGCCTCGGCATTCGGCCTTTGCAGCTCTTTATCCTTTGCCTAGCATGTGTGCCAGTCGCAAAGCAGGAGCGGACGACGGACATTGTCAATGAGATTCGTGCCAAGGGCTGGGACGTGAGTGATGACGACCAATCCGTGACTTGGCCCCGAGCCCTAAACCCTAGACTGCTCTAAACCGTATTGCACGAGCTTTAAAGTTCTGTCAAGGGTTACGATGGGTGGTGTATGATTTTCATAAAGGGGCCTTGAGAACCAGACTAGGGTTTGGGGTCACTGGGTATATTATCGTATAGTAAACAGGGACTCTTAGGGGATACGGTTGCAACTTAGCCCGACCTCAAACTCAAAACTAGCAAGGGAGACGCAAGCCGAGATCTGACCTCCAAGGTGATTGAGCGGATGTTTCATATTGGCCGTGGCCCTAGTATGCACCTAGTTGGATGCTGGCTTGCCACACTGTATGTCTTCCTGGAATCCTGCAGGGACGACGGTTTTTGGATCCCTTCTCAAGCATCCCATTGCTTTGATTTTTGTACGGCGTAGGAGGCCCGGGTAGCATCATGAGATCAGGAAGTGTAGTGGGGTCCGAGATGAGCAATGAAAAAACATGCAAAATGTCAAGTTTGATCAAGCCGAAGTCCGAGTCGTTCGTGGATGCAATGTGCCTACATTCGCAGGCATATATGATTTGGAAATGCCGTAAGCAACGGTAAGGGGTTGTCAGTAAACTTACTCTGACTGCCTACCAACATAAATAGAACTTCTCAAAGAGCAGTGTGAAGAACGAATGCCGTTCCCCGTTCCTGAAGCTTTTGCCGAGACGTCTTGCGAACATGAGAGGCTTCCCTCGATTCAACTTCAGCCTTCTTTGTCTTTCCCTAAAGCTTAAACCTTCATCCCTAACCCTGGACCCTAATCCCTAAAAGACGCAGTCGAAAGCTTCAAAGGCTTCCTTACTGCTCAGTGGTAAGGTATGTATATATACATACATACATACATATATAGAGGTGTGTGCGTATACATCTATCTACCTATCTACCTACCTACCTACCTGCCTACCTACCTACCTACCTATCTATCTATCTATCTATCTATCTATCTATCTAACTGGGTATAGATGGATATGGGGTTCGAGCCAATATTGATGATGTTACCTAAATGGTCAGATTCTGATGCAGCCCGTAACTCAATTCTGAAGAAGCCAGGCTCCCTTTTTGTTGGACCAGTCCCCACGAGAAGCATTCAGGTGAAGTTGCAGCAGAAGACATCCTCAGCCTTCGCTTACTAGCCGCCAACTACACACTGATCCTCACGTCGCAGCGGCCGCATTCAGAGGTTTATGGTTTAGGGATAGATTTGGCTGTCGTGTCAAGGGCTATGGGTTCAAGCTGCTCGAACTTGTCCTCGATGGCTTCCGGTGTCAAGCATGATGGCTTGTCTTTGCAGGAGCAAGGAAGAGGTGCGAGGGTGCTGGCTTCCGGGTTCGAGACGGCCTCTACGGAACAGAACGAACCGGTTGCACGGTCGTGTTTGCTTCTTTCCCCAAAACGCTTGTATGGGATTCTTACATTGGATGCAAGCAGAATTGGTGCACGCTTGCCCGCGGTGCCCTCCCGCTGTGGTGCGGTGCATGTTTTGCTCTCATGTCCTATCATGTACACTGGATTCGTCGGGCCCCGTCCGGGGAGAGCTAGCGGAGTAGTCCAGCATCCTGCTAGTACATTAGCGGTGGTCGTGGTCGTCGTGTTCGAAGTCGTAGTCTCGTCGTGGTGGTCCTGATGGCGCTTGGTGGTCGTGGCCGTGCGTCGTCCTGGTCGTCGTGGTCCGGTGTTGGTGATGCTCTACCACTGTTTGAGGATCTATCCTGGCATCGTATATATATATATATGTATACATAAGAGATATATATATATATACACACACATAGAGCCATACATTTACACATGTACAAGAACAATGTACAAGAAGATACATATGTTTCGAGAGAGTAGATTCATCTGCTTTTCCCTTAACCGAGATTCCGCTTCTTCGCCAACTTCCGGGCGCAGCCGCAGCTTGCCATCATCACGAAAACTTTGGGTGCGCTGATCGTGGTCCCTCGGCTTCCAAAAGCTGGTCAGGAGAAGGCGTATCTTGAATTTGGGTATGCTTCGGGGTCCTGATCGTAAGGATCTGGCAATTCAGGGTTTTTTTGTCCCGTACTTTCCGAAACTGCCGAGGTCTCACGCCGTAACTTAAGCTGCCCATAGCTGGCTGCTGCGAGGGCTTCGTTTGCCAAGAGTGCTTGTTGCCTTGCTGCTTTCCAGTCTAATTGCCGTAGAGGATGGCTACACAGAGTTATTCTTACACTTTTGCACGCCAAGGAGATCATTCACTTCATTGTTGTCTTTATTCCGGCCTTCTTGATCTATGTGCCCAAGCCTCAGTCACCAGCAGACAGCCCACCGGGGGTCAGGTCTGGGGTCTTTGACTTTGAATCCCAACAGCAAGACTCCGGACGAACACCTTATCGTTATTGTACGTCAGGAACAATACCACAAGCAAAAGCCGTAGCAGTTTCAGCATCAAAGCATTGATGCGACACCAGTACTGACACAGCAAAACGAAGGAGAAGACCGACAACAACAACAACAACAACA